CAAAAAAACATGTCAAATGAACCATAAAGCAAGTCAAAGGCTTGGAGAAAATATTTACAAAAGACATATCTGATAAAGGTTTGTTATCCAAAATGTACTAAGAACTCTTAAAACTCAACAATAAGAAAACAACCTTAAAAAATTAGCAAATACCTAAACAGATACCTCACCTAAGGAAATATACAGATGACAAATAAGCATATAAAATGAAACTCTGCCTGGCCAGTGTGGTTCAGTGGTTGAGTGTTGACCTATGAACCAGGAGGTCATGGTTCAATTCCTGGTCAGGGCACATTCCCAGGTTGCAGACTTAATCCCCAGTAGGAGTTGTGTAGGAGGCAGCCGATGAATGATGATCAATGATTCTCTCTCATCATTGCTGTTTCTATTTTTTTTTCTTTTTTAATCTTCACCTGAGGATATTTTTCCATTACTTTTTAGAGAGGGTGGAAGAGAGAGGGAAAGACGGAAAGAAATATTGATATGAGTGAAACACATGGATTAATTGCCTCCTGTATGAGCCTGGACCAGGGCCTGGGGAGGAGCCTGTAACTGAGCCTGCAACCCTTGACCAGAATCAAACCCAGGGCTATGTCTCATTCTTAATCTGATGAGATGAACATATATTATTATCCCTCATTTACAGGTGAGGAAAATAAAAATTTAGAAAGGTAAAATACCTCAGAGTTTCCACAGGTGTACATGACAAAGATGATATTTGAATTCATGTTGTGTAGAGTGCGAGTGACAGAATGCCCAGTACTCCAGACTGATTAAAATTTAGAGAGCCTTTATTGACTGGCCAGTGTCCGCTCCTCCACTCAGGAAGCCCAAGAGAGAAGAGGCCATGACCATCTGCAGAGTCCAATATTTAAAGGGGACAATTACATCCGTGTTCAGGTACCCATAGCAAGCAAAGCCAAGTTACAAAAGCTAATTGCGTAGTTTAGCCAAGCTATTCATCCTCCTCCTGTTACTTATTTTTGAGTAACTTAAAGGTCAGAACTGTTCTTAATTGTGATCTGTCTGTGCTTTGTAGGCCGTTGCTCAGGTGTGTGAGCTCAGTTCCTAGAACAGTGATGGCAAACCTTTTGAGCTCGGCGTGTCAAAATTTTGAAAAACCCTAACTTAAATCTGGTGCCGTGTCACATATAGAAATATTCATATATTTTTTTTATATTTGCAACCATAGTAAAAAAAAAAAGGTTTACATTTTTGGTATTTATTTTATATATTTAAATGCCATTTAACAAAGAAAAATCAACCAAAAATATGTATAAAATGAACAAAAACAGAAAAACAATGTACATTTAGGAAATAATAATAATAAAAACGATGATAATCAAATGGTATGAAAACTAGAAATTAGTCACTTTTTTGGTGCTGAAGTTTTTCTGCTAATTCTTCGATTGCAGGTTCATACTTGGTGCATTTCAAGGCCAAGCAAGCCCACTAACTTCATCTGTTAGCTGGTTTCTTTTGTTCGTTTTAATATTATTTAATGCTGAGAACAAAGTCTCACAAAAATATGTTGATGAAAAAATTGTTAGCAAAGCCATCGCTAGATTTTTTTATGTCACTAAAAGTGTCAGGTACTCTGTTCCAAGCACTCAAAATTTCTTGTTCGTAGTTGCACTCCTCTTCATTATTCAAACGATTTCGTTCCAGATTTTCAAGTTTTGATCTTAAGTCGACAAACACATGAGTCCAAATGCTACCTTGAAAATCTGCAAGTTGCATCTCTAAATCGTCAATTAGCATCCATTGGAAATCCTTTAATTCCAAAGTACTGTAAACAACTACATCCAGATACTTAATTATTTTAATGGTCTGTTCTAGGCTTCTAAATTGGTTGAATCTTTCGCTGAACTGTTCAAATAATGAGTTTACTATATTCTGGTACATAAGCATGGACTCCATTACACTCATTGTAGTGGCCTTCTCAAAATACTTTTTTATCTGAGGAAAATATTTATAAGTTTTAGTTTCAATATCTCGCTTGAAAATTTTAAGTTTACTTTCAAAAGATTTGATGTATCAAACATAATGTCAATACTTTTGCCAAAACCTTGTAATTTTAAGTTCAGTTCATTCATATGAACAGAAAGATCTGTAAAAACCATCCAATTGCTGACCCACTTATGATCATTGATCTGAGGAAAGTTTGCCAGATCCTTATTCTCAATGAATACCGTAATTTCTTCAAAGCACTCCGCAAATCACTCAAGTACTTTACCTCGACTCAGCCATCTCACATTATTGAACATCAGTAGCCCACTGTAGGTTGAATCAACTTCCTGTAAAAGTGCAGAAAATTCTCGCTTGTGAAGGGGTTGAGAAGCTATAAAATTCACAATTTTTGTTACAACTGACATTAAATCATTCAATTCTCAGAATCCCGATTTGGCACACAACACCTCCTGATGGATAATGCAATGAAAAGGTACAAGTGGATATCTAATAGCTTCCATAAACAATTTCAGGAATCCCACATTTTTTCCCACCATATTTGGTGTCCCATCTGTCATGACTGACACAATTTTTTAGAGATATCAATGTTTAGGTCACTGAATGTTTTTATAACAACCTTACATATTTCATTTCCTGATGTACTTATTGGCACTGATTCTAACTTTATCAACTCTTCTCTCATTGTGAGACCATCAGAATATCTAGTAATAATGGCCAACTGAGCATTTGATGTGACATCAATAATTTCATCAGGAGAAATAAAAAAATATTTACAACTATTTAAGTGTTTTTTAATTGATGTTATATGTTTTTATTAAGATCTATTATTCTGTCTTTGGTAGTATTTCTACTGAGTGGTACTCAGAAATTCTTTTAATAATATCATCTTTATTTTTCATATCGTGAAATAGAATTGGTGCACATCTTAGAAATGTTTCCTTAATAAATTCTCCATCACTGAGGGCTTTTCCATGCTGAGCTATGGAGTGAGCAATACAGTAACTTGCTGATGTTAAATTTGTAGAGCATCTTACAAATTTAATGATGGAATTTGATTGACTTTTATAGAGGTGTAGCTGCCTAGAAATGTATTCCTTCCTTTCATCGATACTTTTTTTCAAGAGCTGACAATGATTAGTTTCAAAATGTCTCTTTACATTCCACGTTCTGCTTACTACTGTTTCATTACACAGTATGCACAGTGATCTGTTGTTTCTGTCGACAAGCCCGTACATCTCGGTCCATATGTCTTGAAAGGGTTGGCTACTGCTACTTCCACTTCCTTTATCATTCAATCTTACTTTTATATTTTTTTGATTCTCCATCACAAGGCTGCAAAAATAAATAAATATAAATCACGGCGTTTTTAATAAAAGGTTGATAGGTTTCTTATCTATTAACTTTTTGCAGTGTTGTTGCACTGACTCCTGGTGCAAAACAATTCAAAGATAGTATGTATAACCAACAAATATATGGTGCTGTAATCAATTATCCGACACGCAGAATGTTGCATTTGGTGTACTGTTGCACTGTATATCTTTTTCTTCTAACCCTCCTACTCCTGTCTCCTAACGAACTTGGCAATCAAGTGCGTCCCTTTGCCGAATGCACCCAAACGCCCGGGAAGCTTACCCAAGGCACATGTTGACAATAACGAGGCCGTTTCTAGAATTGGGCATTTTGTCACTCGAGTAAAAATAAAATGTCATGAGTAAAGATTAAACTCTTTATAGTGCAATTCTTAACCTTTTTATATTAATGTCAATATTAGAACAATGTATCTTGGATGTTTTCACTATGTATCTTTGCTAAGCAACACCGATGTACATGTTTACATCCGGTTTTAGAATTGCATTATTGATCATGAGTAACGTGAGTAATAATATTACTCTAGTGATGCCCAACTCTGGCTGTTGCAAGAGACAAATATTTGAATTATGCAATTTTTTGTCTCTGTCGATGCCAGTCACCCAAAATGAGTTCACGTGTCACCTCTGACATGCGTGTCATAAGTTTGCCATCACTGTCCTAGAAACTTTGTCAGGTTGTCAAGCTGCTGAGGTGGCTAGGCCTAAACAATTTTTCTACTCTGTAACAGTGTTGCAAAGTCCTTATTCTTAATCATTAGACATACCAAATGCTTCAATCCAGTGGATACCAAAATATGGTCTCTGTACCCCAAGCATCAGCATCATCTGGTAATTATCAAAAACTTTAGTTTCTCATGCCCCATCCTAGACCTTCTGAATTAGAAACTGTAGCAGTTGGCCCTGCAATCTGTGCTTTCACAAGTTAATGTTTTATAACCACTGCCTTAATCCAACGTTTCCAGGTGTTTGCTTGAATACTTCTGTTGATGAATGTTTTGAAGTGTAAACTCTCCTTTTCATAAGGTTAAGTATTCCATTTAGGGTAGCTCTCTTTGTGTGAAGGTAATTAATTTTCTATAGAGTCCAAATCTGTCTCCATCCAAGTCATTTTCAAACCAAATAAAACAAGTTTGCCTTCATGTTTTAAAGATAGTTTTTCAGAGATTTGAGGTCAGTAATTATGGTCCTCTTTTTACCTTTTCTCCAAGCTGAATACCCCTAGTTACTTTAAATGTTACTTTTATGAACATGTGGATAATCTTTTGAATATTAAGAATCACTTAATCTTTTCCTGTGAGTCAAACATCAGGCTCCAATGGTGACTGATATTCTGCTACTAAAGCCACATGCTCTACTCCCTAATTTCCAAAGGATGAGATTGATAACCAGAACCCCAGTTTAGACTCATATGAGTAGAAGAAGGAGGAGGAGGAAAAGGCATCTCCAGCCCCATTAGGGCCTTGCCCCAGTTACATGCAGCCCTACACTCAGTCACACTCCATAACCATAATCTAGCCTCACTAGCATTCACTCTAATTTTGGCTGAGTGGGGGCAGGGCATTGTACACCAAAAATAAAAGTTTTAAAAAAGCTTTATCCCAAGTACATGTGGCACTCAAAATCCTAATTTCCAAAATATGATGTCTATTTTTTTTTCAGGTTTTCTTTTAAAAGTATTTATTTCAATGCTCCTGGTTTATGGAGGTTTGGCAACTTTTCTACTTGTGATCCAGTATCCTGCAACGAAAGGTAATTGGGACAGGATGGTAGAGATTTCGAGGTCTCTCTCTTCTGCCTATCTCACATGAAGATACCAATCAAGATGTGTGACACTTGTTCTTCCAGAGGGAGAAAAGGAAGCTTGGGCTATCTCTCAGTGATGTTGGATTTCCCCATCTCATTTTTGTGAGATCCAAAAATTTCATCTAGCACCTTCTCCATAGAATTACCTAATGGAACCTGTATATCTAGGTGGTAAATGAATGAAGAAAGAGTGAGTAGACAGGGAAATTTAGGGACTACATCTCAAAGTCATCTATCATTTCTTTTTTTTTCTAGTTATATATTTTATTTATTTTTATTTTTTATCTTTATTGTTGAAAGTATTACAGTTGTCCCATTTGCCCCCCATTGACTCCTTTTAGCTCCCACCTGCCCTATAGCATTTCTTTCTATGTTCATAGACCATTATGAGTTGTATGTACCCACCTAAATGCAAGGGGTTTTAGAAGTCTCCTTGTGTATTTAGAAAATTTCACAGTTTGGTAAGCACATAACATTGTCTTTTCCACATTTCAATGCCAGAATGTAGTTGGCATTGTCTGCCTGTCTCATGATGGTTGTCTGAATCTGAGAATGCCCATCACTAGACTAGGACTGGATTAGGATAAACTTTGGATTCCCCTTCTAACAGTGAACCACATTAAATAATTCTTTTAAAAAAGCTTCTGGTCAGCTAAGCTCACCAGCCTCTCCTACTTGTTTTTGGTGAACATCCAAAGTGTAAGTTTCTCTAGTCATTTATTCCTTCCCTGCCTGATATTTCTTTCTTTTGGTTCTGTCATCACTTCCTTCTGTCTTACCTTCCAGATTTTTTCTTTTTCTTTTTCTTTCTTTCCTTTCCATTCTCTCTCTCTTCTCCTTTCTGTCTTTCTTTTGTTTCAGCTAACAACATCTGCATCTAAAGTATTATATAAGTCTGGTAAGAATTTAGCTTTTTTTCTTCCTCCACACATGCATACCTTCCCCACCATCATCTTCCCTCTACCTTTGATTCATAAATTTATCACATTTATTAGATAAATAGACAGTGCTTATTATAATTATGAAAATGGTATTTGTAATTAGGCATTATTATAATTATATTTTGTTTCTTATGTATATTTTTCTCACCAGAATTAATACCTTTTAATTTGTTTTTTTAAAATAGATTTTTACTGATTTGCCCTAACCTATGCATCTCATGGATACATTTCAATATGTATACATATCCAATATTAATTGTATCACCTTGGGCTTATCATTTCCAGTCTTTTGTCTTCTTGCTCCACTATAAGTTAATTGATCATTATGCAGGACAAGCAAGTGTCATTTTGAAATCTCCACCACCAACCTGAGGGTTCTCAACATTTCTCTCATGTAGAAAGACCAGTTTTCTGAATTGTCTTTTTATTTTCTTGTTTATTCCTTTGATTTAGTAGAGCACACCCTCCAGTATATTCCTTTGAATTGGTCAATAAATGGCCCATTTTTTTTGAGATCTTACATGAATGATTAATATTTTAATGGTAAAGAATTTTAGATGGGTAATAGAAATATTCCTTTAAAATTTGAAAACTTTTTTTAACAGTTATACAGTTTCTGATAAGTTCAATATTATTCTAATTTCTGACTGATTTTAAATGTGACTTTTTCCTCCTTAAAAGCCTTGTTATTTAATATTTATTGATTAGCATTTAAAGTTCTTTAATTATACAATAATATCAATGTGGATTTTTTTCCTATCCATATGAGACTGCTCAGTGAGTCTTTCTTTCTTTCTTTTTTTTTTAAAATTAAATCTTTGTTGTTCAGATTATTACATTAGTTACTCTTTTTTCCCACCATAACTCCCCTCCACCCAGTTCCCACCCCACCCTCCGCCCTCACTCCCCACCCACTGTCCTCATCCATAGGTGCACGATTATTGTCCAATCTCTTCCCTCACCCCACACCCCTTCCCCCCCCCCAAGAATAGTCCATTCCCTTTCTATGTCCCTGATTCTATTAAAATCGCCAGTTCATACTGTTCATCAGATTATTTATTCCCTTGATTTTTAGATTCACTTGTTAATAGATGTGTATTTGTTGTTCATAATTTGTATCTTTACCTTTTTCTTCTTCTTCCTCTTCTTAAAGGATACCTTTCAGCATTTCATATAATACTGGTTTGGTGGTGATGAACTCCTTTAGCTTTTTCTTATCTGTGAAGCTCTTTATCTGGCCTTCACTTCTGAATGATAGTTTTGCTGTATAAAGTAGTCTTGGTTGTAGGTTCTTGGTATTCATCACTTTGAATATTTCTTGCCACTCCCTTTGGCCTGCAAAGTTTCTGTTGAGAAATCAGTTGACAGTCCTATGGGTACTCCCTTGTAGGTAACTGATTTTCTTTCTCTTGCTGCTTTTAGGATTCTCTCTTTGTCTTTTGCTCTTGGCATTTTAATTATGATGTGTCTTGGTGTGGTCCTCTTTGGATTCCTTTTGTTTGGGGTTCTCTGCGCTTCCTGGACTTGTAAGTCTATTTCTTTGACCAGGTAGGGTAAGTTTTCTGTCATTATTTCTTCAAATAGGTTTTCAATATCTTGCTCTCTCTCTCATCTTCTGGCACCCCTATAATTCGGATGTTGGTACACTTGAAGCTGTTCCAGAGGCTCCTTACACTATCTTCGTATTTTTGGATTCTTTTTTCATTTTGCTTTTCCGTTTGGGTGTTTTTTGTTTCTTCGTATTTCAAATCTTTGACTTGATTCTTGCGCTCTTCTGGTCTGTTGTTGGGAGTCTGTATAATGTTCTTTATTTCAGTTAGTGTATGCTTAATTTGTAGTTGGTCCTTTATCACAACATTGAGGGTCTCATTAGATTTCTTGAGGATCTCACTACATTTATCAGCGGTCTCACCAGTCTTCTTGAGGATCTCACTACATTTATCGGCGGTCTCACCAGTCTTTTTGAGGGCCTTATTAAGATTATCGGCGGCTTCTATACAGTTCTTTAAAGACCTTAACAGTGTGGTTTTGAACTCTATATCCAGCAGTGTGCTTTCCTCCAATTCTGTCGTTTGTGTCCTGTTTCTTTGTCTCTGCATTTTTTATGTTTCGCTGTGTCGATAGAGTTCCTTTCTGTGCTAAGTGTCCCAATTACCTGAGGTAGACACTCTTGGTGCATCCCCTTGTGGGCTTTGTGCACAGTCTTGTTGTAATTAAGCCTTGATTGTTGTAGTTATCACTGTGAGGAATTGACCTCCAGGCCAATTGGCTGTGAGAATCAGCTGTGTCTGCAGTGGGAGAACTTCTGTGCTGGAGACACCCCTCTGGGGCTAGACTTTCTTCAATGGGGCTTTGGTGCTCACTGAGTCTGCCCCCTGAGTGTGTCTTTTATGGTTCCACAGAGCTGCAAACTGGATGGTCCCACCCTGACCTCTGGGCTTCATGGCTCCTGTATCTCTAGGGAGGTGCTAATCTAGCCTTTGCCTGAGTCTATCCAGCAAAAGTCTCCCTGCAGGGCTTCGGTGGGGCGGGTCCCACAGGATCAACAGGGCTGGGTTAGCAATTATGGCTGCTCTCAGCCTTGCCCTCAGAGGCTCTGCTTCTCAGTGTCCCAGTAATTGCTGCAAGCCCCATGGAGAGAAAGCTGCCCTAGGGTTCTGAGCGATGATAGACAGTCCCGCTTCTCCCGTATGAGTCTGGGTCCCTAGAGACTCGCCCAGAGCTGGAGCTCAGAGTCTGAGACTCCCTCCCAATTGAAAACAACAACCACGCCCTCAGCCGCCAGCCCGCTCTGCATGCACTCCGCACCTTAGTATTTTACTTCAGCACTGCGCCTCCTCTGAGTCTCGGTATGTTTTACTCTTTCCTCCTAGTTGTAGAACTTCCACTCAGCCAGCCTTCCTGTGGTTCTGGATGATGTCCATTCCGTCTTTTAGTTGTATTTTTTTTAATATATTTTATTGATTTTTTACAGAGAGGAAGAGAGAGAGATAGAGAGCTAGAAACATCGATGATAGAGAAACATCGATCAGCTGCCTCCTACACACCCCCTCCTGGGGATGTGCCCCCAACCCAGGTACATGCCCTTGACCGGAATCAAACCCGGGACCTTTCAGTCCACAGGCCAACGCTCTATCCACTGAGCCAAACCGGTTTTGGCATAGTTGTATTTTTGAAGTGGTTGTTTGGGGCAGCAAACTCCGGTGTTTACCTATGCCACCATCTAGGTTTCTCCAGTGAGTCTTTCTAGGCTGTAAATTTTTTTTTAACATCCACTTATAGTGGGAGATTTTCTTCCTTTAATTCTTGGATTCTCCTACTTTTACTATGTTTTCTCTTTTTGGAATTCCTATTATTTGGATACTATACTTCCTAGTGATCATCTAATTTTCCTCTCTTTCCTATTCTGTTTACTTTTTCTTTGTATTTTTTTTCTAAGGGAATTCCACAACTTTATCTTTTAATTCAGTCATTTAAGCTTTTCATTTCTGCTTCTGTAGTTTTAATTTCTACTAGCTCTCTCTTTTCATGCTTATTTAAAAATAGCTTCCTGTTTTTGCTTCATTATGTTAAAATTTATTTCTCTGGAGATATTAAGAATTTTTAAAGTCTTTTCTCTTGAATCATCATGTTGTTTCCTTCATTAAAAATATCTATGTCTCGTGTATGATTGTCTTTCTTTACATATTGATATAGCTTGAATGCATTTAAAAGCAGTTGTGTTGAGTCATGTCATCCTGGGTGACTTTAATATATCCACATGATTTTCCATGCAACAATCTAGATTTGGTGCCTTGATTTTTTTTTAAAGTCTAGGAACATTTTTTTTCTATTCACCTTCATGTCTCTTTCCTGTGGCCACATCCTAGAATTTCTTATCACTACAAACTACTATAATTATGAATACACCTTTTGAATCATCTCACTTCTTACCACTACCCTTTCTCTCCACAGTTCCATTTTTCAGTTAATATTGCTGTGCCTATTTGCTTAATTCATAGAGAAATCCAGGTTTTTATCTCTATACTGTCTGTACCCTCTTCTCTTTTCAGTTTTTCTCTAATCAACCTTGACTACATTGTAATCACATGGCTGCTTTCTTACCAATATAGTCAACTTCGTTGTCCTGATTTTCTTTGGTTATACCCAACTTAAAAATAATTCGGGATTAGTACTATTATTTACCTTCTCTGTACTACATTTGGAATGGAAAAAGCATAACAGAATGAAATTTGGTATCAATTTTAATACAGGAAGTCCAGTGACAGAAGACTTCTTAACTATATGACAACCCATTCATTCTTTCCTGTTCAATTTTATGTCCAGTTTTCCCAGCAGTTAACTCTATATTGTTTTATTCTTCCATAAGCTTTTAAAGCTTCCAGATATATCATATTTCTCAAAATTATCAACAGATAACTGGACCCCTGATAACGAATAAGCTACTAACTTTATAAATATAACTGCATCACCATGACTAACTACACCTTTTATTACAATAATCCATAAGTCACTCCACTTATCTAAAGCTAAATACCCCCACTCATGGTTAGATGTAAATCCACTTCATTGTTAGAACCTTCACACATTCAATTATTTCATACTTATCTTGCACTTTTATTTTCTATTTTTCTACTATTTATTTTTCCTTAAAGTATTTTAATATGCTCAACTTACTCTCCTATTATCAAAACTTTAAGATGAACTTCAGCCACACGTACCCTTCCAGTAATTACCACCTCCTTCAAAGCCAAACATTTTACAAGAATTGTTTATACAGACTCCTCTTTCTCACTTTCCACTCCCTCTCCACATGAAAGGAATCTAGCTGCCACTTTCTTCAGTCTACAGAACTCTCCTTCCAAAGTTAGAAATACTTTCATTGTTGATAAATGTAACTAGGATTTATAAGTTTTTAGTCAACATGCTTCTATCAAGGAATATTTGCTAATTGTCATGTCTCCCTGTCTCTTTTGCAGAGCCTGTCAACACAGACAATATAATTACGAATAAAGAAAAATTCGTAATCCATTCTGTGATAATAGTATTTGTCTCCATGATTAGCTCTTTATTGTACACCTTTCAAAAAGGTAAATGCTTCTAAAAAGATGGGAGATTTTAGAATGTTTATTATCTATCTAATTCCTCATTCTACATAATATTTGGTCACAACTTTGTGAGCTTTATATCCTGAAGCCATAACAGCCTATAGGAAAAATAAAAAACTTACAATATATAAGAAATTTTGAAAATGCCCATTAAATAATGGGTCTCAGTGACTCATGTTATTGGGACTACCGATATCAGTATTTCTAATATGAATCAGAGCCATTGCTTGTGTCCTATAAAGGACATAGAATCTTCACGTTCAGCTAAATTTAAATGACTCAACCTCAAACTTTCTCAATAACATATGCAGATGTCTTCTGTGTGCTGGAACTTGTGCAAGGCTGGAAGGTAACTGGAAGGTGAACATGGTAGATGGTTAGCATGGTGGTGTGCAAGGGTAGGCTAAATAGCCACCTCACATGGTAGTTTAATTGAATTTATTTAAGGGAAGGTCATGGAGAATGGACTATCCAAAGGGAAGGGCTGCACATCACTGAGCCAAGGGGACATTGGGTTGATGATGGCAGCTCCCAGGAGCTGGAGTTTCATCCTTATATGCAGTCACTGGTGGGAAACTTTTGTCATCAGTGGGCCTGGTAGGCTTGGAATGCAGATTAAACGCAGGTGTGCAATCATGTGCCTTCAGGACAGTTTCCATTCCTTGTATGATCTAATTCCTAGTGTCCAGCAAGTTTTTTTATTATTTATTTATTTATTTATTTTTACATTTTATTTTATTTTTTTAAATTTTGTTTTCTTACTTAAAGTATTACAAAGAGTATTACATATGTGTCCAGCAAGTTTTTCCTGGTCTTTTGTTCTCCGGTGGCAGGAAGCTTACAAATGTCCATTAAGGATTGTATTGTCCTACAGACCTAGCAGTAATATTTAGAACTTTTCATATTACATCCTATTTGGAATTTAAGTCTTCTTTTGATTTAAGAAAAAAAAAGTGTTTCTACTTTTCCAAATACAAAACCAGGAACATATTTACAGCATTGACCTATATTTTTTTCACTCTCATTCTTTCAAAACATGAATTTTTTGTTTTTTCCTTGTAATCCATCTCTTACTTAGAAAACTGATAAGTACCCTGGGCTTTATTATCAAACCCTGTCTCATGTTAGAAAAGGGATCTAGGTAACCAGGATTAAGGGTCTATCCATGAGGGGCTGCCTATTGTACTTTGAGGAGCCCAGCGGAAGGAAAATTAATAAAAGAAAGTCAGGAAAATGTACATTGTCCTGGCTAAACAAAATTATAATATTATGACATCTGCCCCAAATTTTAGTTAATATTCAGCATTTTTAGGCACAACACATCTATCTGCACTAATAAAAGAGAAACATGCAAATTGGTGTCACTATGCCCACCAGCCAATCAGAGTGACTATACAAATTAACACAACAAAGATGGCAGTTAATTTGCATAAGCAGGCTCAGAGTGAAGACTGAAGACTCCAGCCAGAGTGAAGACTAAAGACTGAAGACTGAAGAGGCTTGGCTACTCCGTTGCGGCCGGACCAAAGGCCTGGGTCCCGGGTGCCAGAGGAAAACCGGTGCCAGCAGCCAGGGGAAGGAAGGCCTATTGCATGAATTTTTGTGCAATGGGCTTCTAGTAAAATATTTTTTAAAAATGAGTATCTGGGAGGAAGGAAGATAGGGGAGTGCCATCTTACCCATAACAATCAGGGGATCAGAAAACATCATGACAATCAGAAAACATCTGGTTTTTAATCATTCCAACTTATTTTAAGGGCTTTCCTGATTAGATCAATCCTATCCAAGAAAATATTAATTAATTTAGGGTGAAAATCCAGGATTTTGTGTGCCATAAAAGCCAAATATAGGAGTTACGCTGTCAAAATTTGAACTTGGCTGGGAAGATGTTACCTGTGTGAGGATAGGACACAGAATTATATTGTACCCATTGGGCTAATACCCAAATTTATCAAGACTATATTGACTGAAATCTATGACCATGTTACTCATAAATTCTGGAATGAACTGAGTCCATAGAAGTTCCATTTGTAGTTCACCTTGAGACTATTCACCAAGAGGCTAAGGCATGCATAGAGGAAATCACCAGGAAAAAATGAAATCAAAGCCCAAATTAAGTAAAACATTTTTTAAAACCCCCAAATTTAAAATAGATTAACTGGAACTCAAAAGAAAGAAATATTTAAAAAATCAGAAATTATGCTACTATTCTCAAAAGTACCAAAAATGTAATATCAAGAAAATAATTTTATGAATCATTGGCACTTTATAAATCAAGTATATATTTTTTAAAAGGAATAAATAGTTGTAAAAACAAGGAAACCTTTAAATTAAAATGCTTTAAGTGATAAAAAATAACTTGTTATATTTGATAAGTGGTATACTACATACATTAGTTTTCTATTGCTGAATAACAAATTATTATGAACTTAGCAGTTTAAAATAACATGTTTTATTATCTCATAGTTTGCATTGATGAGGATTTCAGGCATGGCAAAGCTAGAGCCTGTGCTCTGCGTCACAACAAGCTGTATCGCTGGCTGGCATTGCCATCTCATCGGGAGATCAGAGTCATCTTCTTCTTGGATTTTCAAGGTTAATGAAATAATTTATTTCATTGTGATTTGTAGGGCTGAAGCCTTCTGCAACTAGAGGCCATCCCTGTTCAAACACAGTTTTCAACATAGCTATTTGTTCATTCCCTCTGAGACTATAAAGAGAAAACATCTGGTTTTTAATCATTCCAACTTATTTTAAGGGCTTGCCTGATTAGATCAATCCTATCCAAGATAATCTTCCTAATTTTTTTTTTTTTTTTTTTTAAATAACAATGGCCCTAACCAGTTTGGTTCAATGGATAGAGTGTTGGCCTGAGGACTGAAAGGTCACAGGTTTCATTTCAGTCAAAGGCACATGCCTGGGTTGCAGACTTAGTTCCCAGTGTGTGTGTGTGGGGGGGGGGGGGGGGAAGGGGTGCAGGAGGCAGCCCATCAATGATTTGCTCTCATCATTGATGTTTCTATCTCTCTCTCTCTCTTCCTCTCTGAAATCAATAAAAATATATATTTTAAAAAGTAACAATGTATTCTATTTTTATATCTTTCTAATATATTTTTATTGATTTTTTAGAGAGAAAAGGGAGTGGGAAATAGAGAAACATTGATGACAGAAACATCAATCAGCTGCCTTCTGCATGCCCCCTACTGGGGATCCAGCCCGAAATCTGGGCATGTGCCCTAACTGGGAATTGAACAGGTGGCCTCTTGTGCATGGGACAGCACTCAATCCACAGAGCCACACCAGTCAGGCTAATCTTCCTAATGTAAAGTCAACTGATCATAACCTTTAATCTGCAAAATCCTCTCACAGCAGCACCTAAAGCCCATTACTTTGGATTAAATACCTGGGAGAAAGTGTATATATCAGGAGTGGGAATTTTGGTAGCCACTTAGAATTCTGTCCACCACACTACACATAACTGAAATAAGAATTAGTGAACCATAGAACCTGACTAGGTAGCCTAATTGGTTAGAGAATCATCCTGATAAGCCCAGATTGCAAGTCCAGTCCCCAGTCAGGGCACATATAAATAAGAATCAACCAATGATGCATAAATAAATAGAATAACAAATCGATCTCTCTCTCTGTTTCTCATCCTCTCTCTCTCTAAAATCAATAAAAAAAATTTTAATAGGATTAGTGAGTCATAGAATCAAACTGAGGATATGTAACACAAAAGATAAAGAATTAAAACATATAATTAAAATTTAAGAAAAATGGGGAAAAATTCAAAAGTTCTACTATATAAAAATGAAATTTTAGCCCTAGCTGGTTTGGCTCAGTGAATAATGCATCGGCCTGCAGACTGAAGGGTCCCCAGTTCAATTCCTGTCCGGGACAAATGACCTGGCTGAGGGCTCGATCCCCAGTGGGGGGCGTGCAGGAGGTAGCAGATCAATGATTCTCTCTCATCATCGATGTTTTTATCTCTCTCTCCCTCTCCCTTCTTCTCTGAAATCAATAAAAAATATATTTTAAAAAATAAATAAAAATGAAATTTTAGGAGATTGAATGCAAAATAACTTGTTTTTTTATATTAAGAGTGAATAGGAATTTGATAAACAGTATGAGGCAGAGTGTATAAATTAAAAATATATCATCTAGCAGCCGTGGGCAAACTACGGCCCGCGGGCCAGATCCGGCCCGTTTGAAATGAATAAAACTAAAAAAAAAAAAAGACCGTAACCTTTTATGTAATGATGTTTACTTTGAATTTATATTAGTTCTCACAAACACTCCATCCATGCTTTTGTTCCGGCCCTCCGGTCCAGTTTAAGAACCCATTGTGGCCCTTGAGTCAAAAAGTTTGCCCACCCCTGAATGATAAAGAATAATTTGTATACATACACCCATCATCAATATCACCACATCAAGGGAAATGAAACAAAGGCAATTCTCTTAAGTTACCAGATAGAGAAGAAACATTTCCTACAATTGATCAAAATTAAATTGACATGAGATGCCTTAAATGAGTTTTCTAGTATCCATATAATATGTTGTTTCTGAGAAAAATGAAATAAAGTAACGTTTCAGACTTTTAAGGATATAGACATTTTATTGCTCAAGGACCATTACAGAAAAAAAAAATAATAATAAAAGGAAGAATGAATCCAAAGGTAAGTATTTTGATACAAGAAAATTGGTTAGCAAAGATTTCAGAGGAGAAATAGCTGCTACTACTCATGTTAATTTTATATGACTAATAATAATAATAATAATAATAATAATAATAGTTGTATAAATTCCAATAAAAATAAAAGCAGAATTCCAGATATTAGGGAGGAAAAAATATTACTAATTTTATGTGTTTAAACTGAATTTAGGATTAATTTAAATGTAAATTTAAGTATTGTAGAAACATAAGAGAATAATCATTAAACAAATAGAAGTGACATATTGGTTGAGTGGAAGCTTTGCCCGGCCTGTGTGGTTCAATAGTTGAATGTTGACCCATGAACCTGAAGGTCAGGATTTGATTCTCAGTAAGGGCACATGCCCGGGTTGTGGGTTAAATTCCCACTAGGGAGCGTACAGAAGACGGCAAATCAATGATCCTCTCTAGTCATTGATGTTTTTATCTCTCTATCCCTCTCCCTTCCTCTCTCTAAAATCATTAAAAACATAAAAATATATATTTTAAAAAGTGGAAGTTTTGTCAGCCAACTGTATTATTTCACATCTGAAAAGCATCACTTACTACCATATTAACAGCATCTTGGGCAAGTTTCTAAACATCTTTGTATCTCAGTTTCCTAATGGATTAAAGAGGATAATAAATATGTGATTATTGTTAAGATTAATAGAGACATAGTCAAGTCACTTTGTTGTGCGCTTAGACTTATACAATGCTGTATATCAATTTATCTTAATAAAAGTGAAAGGAAAAAAAAGATTAATAGAAATATCTATGAGTTCGTCAATATCTGTTCTCCCTTTTTCCTGTAATAATAGAATACATTTTTAACTAGACTCATAGCCTTCCAAGAGAAAGACTAGTTCCAGGCTCCCTTTATAGTTAGGTGAAACTGTGCGCTTCACATCTGACTCATAAGAGGTGTGCAGAAATGATGTGTGTACATTTTAGGTTATACACATATGGAAAAGAACTGAGTCCTAAACTTCTTATTCTTTCATCCTTTCTTGTTGGTATTGCAGGTACATGGTCAAGCAATCAAGACCATGAAGATGAAGCCACACATGAATTAGCCACAATAAGGAGCCAGGACTGCAATACAACTAAAAGGAGGAGAGCCACCTTATGAGTTTTGTCTACTTGTACCTGAAATGCTATACAATTAATTTGGGTTAACAACAGTTAATGTCCAAGAACGCATGTAAAGCTATTATATCTGTGCTTATTATATGATAAACATTCACTAAATGTTAGTATTACAACTATTAAAATTATCCTATATAATAAACGCCTAATATGCCAAGTGTCCAGTTGTCCGGTCGTCCATTCAACAAATCAAAGTGTAATATGCTAATGATATGCTAAGGTCACTCAACTGCTCACTATGATGTGCACTGACCACGAGGGGGAAGACAGTCAACCAATCGACCAGTCGCTATGATGTGCACTGACCATCAGGGACTCCGACTGGTAGGTTAGCTCACTGCTGGGGTCTGGCTGATCAGGACTGAGTGAGACTGGCCGGACATGCCCTGGAACCCTCCCACAGTCACTCCCTGGCTGGCCAACCTCCCCAACCCCGATCATGCAATCATGCACTGGTGGGGTCCCTCAGACTGGCCTGTACCCTCTCACAATCTGGAACTCCCCAGGGGATGTCAGAGAGCTTGTTTTGGCCCCATCCTGCAGGCAAGGCTGAGGGACCCCACTGGTGCACAAGGCTTCTAGTACTTACTAATAATATAGGAGATATGCCATAATCAAAATTACATAAAAGAGTTAATAGTAAAGAATAGGAAAAGGATGTATCAGGGAAAGAATAAAAAAACAAAGTTCAAGTGACAGTACTGATATTAGAAAAAATAAAAGTTAAAGGAACATAATCCAGCAAGTATATAAAATAGTTAAGAATGTACACATACACTAAATAAAAACAGTCATTAAGGCAATGACCAGCACAATTGACAGGTATAACAGATAAATTTTAGAAACCTATATGTACAAGCACACAAATAATTAGATCATGAACACATATTATAAAAGAGTAATTAAAGTTTGAACTTTACCCTCCTCTATCCCCCAAATTGAAATCAGGTATGATTTTCAAATATTTGAGGATATTTATAAATATTGTCCATGTGCTAAATTGCAAAAAAATTCAAAATTGATGCTCAGAAACTGTAGTATGTTATCTTATACTAGAAACCTGGTGCATGAAATTTGTGCACTCAGGAGGGCGGGCATCCCTCAGCCCAGATTGTGAGAGGGCTCAGGCCAGGCCAAGGGACCTCACTGGTGCACGGGGCCAGGGAGGGATGTGGGAGGTTGGCCAGCTGGGAAGGGACCGAGGGAGGGCTCCAAGGCATGTCTAGCCCATCTTGCTCAGTCATGATCAGCCAGACCCCAGCAGCAAGCTAACCTACCGGTTGGAGCGTCTGTCCCCTGGTGGTCAGTGGCCGTCATAGTGACTGGTTGACTGGTCGACTCTCTGCCTCCTGATGGTCAGTGCATGTTATAGTGAGCGGTTGAGCAACTTAGCATATCATTAGCATATTATGCTTTGATTGGTTGAATGGACAACCAGACAACCAGACACTTAGCATATTAGGCTTTTATTATATTGGATGTCAAAATAATACAACTAAAAGCCCAGTGCATGAAGTCATGCATGGGTGGGGTCCCGAAGCCTGGCCAGTGATCAGGGCCTATCGGGCCCTGTGGCTGGGGGGAAGGACTAGGGGAGGGACAGTGGGATGTTGGCTGGTGGGAATGAGGAACCACGGGAGGTTGGCCGCTGGCCTAGAGGAGGGATCTGGCCCTTGGCACCCCTGGGAAAGGGGCTACATCTGCCACCACCCACCCCCAGTTCCCCATCCCAGCCCAGGGTTCAAAGTCCCTGGCAGGGTTGGGAGAGGAGGTGACAGTCACTGGGCCAGGCATGGAAGGAAAAGGCACCAGACACTGAAGCTGCTGACGACACCCCTCCACCGTGTGGTTCCCTGCCTCCCTATCTTCTCCTCCCCTCACCACTGCACCACCACTGTGGCAGGTGGGCAGCCCCCAGGGAAAGGAGAGGGTAGGAGTGAGACAAACCCTTGTATCAAGGGCTGACTTTCAATAGATCGCAGTGAGGGAGCTGCTCTGATACATATGAAACCCTGACCCAGAAGCAGGTCATCTATGAATAGTTTAACTCCAGGGGCTGATGGGGGCCGGCCCGGGGGAGGGATGATGGGTGGTTGGTCAGCCGTGGGAGGTTGGCTGTTGGAGTGCACTGACCACCAGAGGACAGCTTCTGCATTGAGCATCTGCCCCTGGTGGTCAGTGCGTGTCATAGCAACTGGTCAACTGGCCGTTCTGGTTGTTCCGGTTGTTCGGTGACGTAGGCTTTAATATATATATATGAGAGAAATTTCACCAGTGTGCTCCTTTTCCCATAATTCCCCCTTGCAATATGTGCTAGTACATACATGAAGAACTCACAACATTTATCATATACTTGAAAAAAATCTATAATAATAAAAGCATAAAATGCTAATTAAACCTGATGTCTTTCCGGATGACATTCTAGAGGAAACCGGGGCTGCAGTCATGGGATAGAGGCAGCTGGCTGCAGCTGTGACAGAGGGATCCAGGCAGCTGCAAGGGAGGGATCCAGGCAGCACTGTGGCTGTGAAGGCCTACTTTTGCACAAATTTCATGCATCAGGCCTCTAGTTAATATATAATTCACATACCATAAATTTCACCCTTTGGAGCATACAATTCATTGGTTTTTACTATATTCACAAAGTTGTGCAACAATCATTACTATCTAATTCTAGATTATTTTATTACCCCCAACAGAAACCCTGTATACATTTGCAATCACTCCTCATAACTCTCGCCCTCAAAACAAATGATAACCATTATTCTACTTTATGTCTATGGATTTGCTTCTTCTGGACATTTCATATAAATGGAATCATACAATATGTGGGTTTTCTTATTTCTAGCTTCTTTCACTTAGCTTGTTTTCAAGGTTTATCCATGCTGTGGCATGAATCAGTACTTTATTTCTTTTTATGAATAAACTAGAGGCTCAGTGCACAAAATTTTCTGCACTTGGGCAGGCGGCGGGGGGAGGGGGGGGTCCTTCAGTACGGCCTGTGCCCTTTCACAGTCTGGGACCCCTTGGGGATGTCCACCTGCTGGCTTAGGCCTGCTCCCTGGGGGATCGGGCCTAAGCTGGCAGTCAAACATCCCTCTGGCAGCCGGGAGCCTTCGGGGGATTTCCACTTGCCAGCTGGGAACAGGCCTAAGCTGCAGTCGGACATCCTTAACGCTGCTGAGGAGGCAGGAGAGGCTCCCACCACCACTGCTGTGCTGGCAGCCATCAGCCAGGCTTGTGGCTGAGCAGAGTTCCCCCTGTGGGAGCACACTGACCAACAGGGGGCAGCTCCTGCATTGAGCATCTGCCCCTGATGGGCAGTGTGTGTCATAGTGACCAGTCATTCCCAGTCATTCTGCTGTTAGGGTCAATTTGCATATTACCCTTTTATTATATAGGACAGAGGCCTGGTGCACAGGTGGGGGCCAGCTGGTCTGCCCTGAATGGTGTCCCAGAACAGAGTGGGGGTCCCACTGGGGTGCATGGCCAGCCTGGGTGAGGGGCTGATGGTTGTTTGCAGGTTGGCCAAGCCCCCGTGGGGACCCTCATCCCATGGAGGTGTGGCCAGCCTGGGTGAGGGGCTGAGGGCTGTTTTCAGGCTGGCCCCACCCCTTTCAGGGTGGAGGTCCCTGCTGGGGGCCCTGGCCAACCTGGGTGAGGGGCTGATGGCTGTTTGCAGGCTGGCCACAGCCCCTTCAGAGTGGGGGGGAGGGTCCCACTGGGGTACCTGGCCAGCCTGGTTGAGGGGCTGATGGCTGTTTGCAGGTTGGTGAAGCCTCCCAGTGGGGACCCTCACCCCATGAGGGTGTGGCCAGCTTGGGTGAGGGGCTGAGGCCTGTTTTCAGGATGGCCACAGCCCCGTCAGAGTGTGAGTCCCTACTGTGGTGCCTGGCCAGCCTGGGTGAGGTGCTGATGGCCATTTTCAGGCTGGCCATGCCCCACCGTGACCCAAGTTCCCAGCCTCTCCTTTTTCCACAGCTGGCTGGTAGCAGGTATCTGGGATTTATTTATCTTCTATAATTGAAACTTGGTAGTCTTGAGCAGAGTCTAGTGCCGGCCAGGGCAGGCAGGAAGCTTGGCTTCCTCCATCGCCAGGGGGCAACCCAAACCTCCTGCTTGCTCCAACTCCGTGGCCACAGCCATCTTTGTGATGAAGTGACAGAGTGATGGTTGATTTGCACATTACTCTTTTATTAGTTAGGATAATATGCCATTGCATGGATCTAGCATTTTTGTTTATCTATTTGTGTGGATGGAAACTTGGGTTGTTTCCACCTTTTGGTTATTGTGAATAATGCTGCTATGAACACTCACATACAAGTGTTTGTTCAGGTTCCTGATTTCAATTCTTCTGATCTATATCTAAAAATGGATTCCTGGGTCATACGGTAATTCCATGTTTGCATTTTTGAGGAACTGCTTTCTGAAGCAGCCAAACCATTTTACATTCTGAATCATTTTATTAGCAATGTATGAGGATTCTAACTTTACCACATCCTCATCAACATATTATTGTTTATTATAACTATCTTAGAGGATGTGCAGTGGTATCTCATTGTGGTTTTGATATATAATGCACCAGTGAAGAACAATATTGAGATAATCACTATGCTTATTGGCCATTTGTGTATCTTCTTTGAAGTGATATCTATTCAGGATTGTGTTTATTGTTGAGTTGCCATAGTTATCTGTATGTTCTATATGCTACACCAATAATACATACATGATTTGTAAATATTTTTTCTCATTTAAATAAGTTGCTTTTTCACTTTTTTTTTATCTGTATAATATTTTTTTGTTTATTAAGCTAGGGACATGTGCAACAAATTTCAGATGCATTTTCATCAAAATATAATTACACCCCAAAACTTTCAGTAATTAAGTTGCATTCATGTTAAGAATTAACTTAGGGAAAATCTATTATTGGTGTCAAATAAATGAGGTGTTATTCACTATCCTTAATCCCATTGCACAAAGCTCATGAGACCTCTTGGTTATAGTCACTAAAACCTGTGTAATCTTTGGCACTGTTTCTTCAACTGTAAAATGGAAATAGCAACAAACATATCTAATAGCATTGGGTCTCAATAAATCAATAGATTTAAAAACTTTAGAAGAGGCTATGGCACTTGGGCTCAATACATTTCACATTGTTGT